GATAAAGTTTGCTTAATGCAAACACGATTTACTTGTCTTCGTGTGCACTCGTACAAGAAGAACCTTATCTTGATTAAATAATGATATTTTATTTACGTGTTATTTCGCACAATTCCGTCTGATCATCGAAGGATGGTACCAATTACCATCAAACCATTGAGACCTCCTGTTAGCCTCGATCTTTTAAAGATGTCGAAATAAAACGCGCAGGCAATACCAATGGCACTTGACCAAAATGTCGGACTCGGTGAAAGTTTAATGGTATTGTTTTAGCATAACAATGCCAACGCCAAGCGTTCGACTTCTCGACGAATTCCATTGGTATTGTTCGTCAACCCTGCATTGAACTCTTACCGATTAACAGACGCCAATGGTCCTTATTGTTTACCATAAAGTTCCGGGATTTTCGTCGCTGAAATGGCATCGATTAGTGCATAAAGGAGAAAGCTATTCTCCGAGTCGTTGACTTACAAAAAACTGATGCGTCCTTGGGCCTTATTGAAGCCATTGGTTTTACTTGGCACAAGGTTCGCCTGTGAAAATCGGTTCAATGAGGAAACAGGAGGTGGTTTTTTTTCATACTCGTTCTTCATTAATTTCCGATCTCACATTATGCCTCTATGAACCAGGCGAAGAATTATCCGATGATTGGTTCAACCGCGTGGTGTTCGACTCGGATTAAATTTATTCATGCGGTGTAACGAGCGCTCACTCTACCAGGCTTAGATCAGGAACCCGTCACTTCTTCAAATCCGTGGGTGGAAGCGAGTGGGAGCGACTGATTTATCCAAGGCCAGTTTAAACTTGGCCGAACCGGACCCGTGTCTTATCCGGTCAAAGGGATGTCATTCGATCAATCAATCGCGCGATCGCGTGATGTTGAACGAAAAAGGTGAAAGGAATCAAGGAGAAATGAAACTTTTTGATCGGATAGATATGATTATAAATTGGGTTAGAGCGGAACTACGAGTGCATCAGGTTAGTCGAGAAAAAGATTTCAATCAGAGGATCCGGATGGAAGAGAAAATGCAAGAAATAAGTACGAACGCACGAAAATTTGTGATACATAATTATTGATTTTCTTAAAAAGGGTTGGAATACGGAGAATACTCATTCAAGCTGCAAAATGTCATTGAGCTCAAAAGTTTTTTTTTATGATATTGTTGTTTGTTGACATTCTTGCCACGCGAAACGAGTTGAATTGAAACATCCCGGCCTTGTCATATTTAGTAGATGCAAATGTTTTCACTCATAATTTAATTTAATGAATGGGCAAGACATTGTCGCATCTCAACAGGAGTTGTATTGTTTATATTGCGCATTTTACATAATGTTATACATGACATGATCTATATTTAGCCATCGGTACTTATAAACTGCAAGAAATTAGTAGATCTCGTTGTCTTATTATTCTCCTTCCATTTAATGTATTAAGAGTGAATCTCCTTGCTAGAATTGAAGCGTTAAATGTAAACGCACCGTCCTTGTTTTAGATTGTGCTCAAAGTGCGTGCATGTTATCAATTGATCCTAGCGTATGCGTTGATGGTGTTTACTCATTTTCATGCCAAACCGAGGAAATGTAAGAATCCTTTTTTTAGTAATAAAATAGGATTTAAGCTGTTTGCACAAGAGAGATGTCAAAAAACAAATTAGGAAAACAAATGTCGTACACTTGAAGCATAAAATTTTAACGATGCACATCAGTAAACTGAACGTTTGTCCCCTTGTTGCCGCGCCTTTCTCTTTTGTCGCCCGGTACCTTTGTTCTTCGATGGTTGACCATCTCCGCTAAAAATAAAAAACAAGGGTCTGTTTATCTACCATAATAACGAAATGCTCGGGATTGAGAAATTACGTCGCTTTGCGTGTGTCTTTGTCAGTAAATTCTTTGACCAACGATATACTCTATTAAACTGTTTGAAACGTCAACTTTCCAGTCGCACGAAGAATCCTTTTTTGGCAATCTAATAATTCCAATTTCTTCTTTATAGGACCATCTTAGTCCACATTTGATTATCTAATAACTCCAATTTCAACTTTATTAGCTTATTATGCCCAACGAGAAATCTACATTTGGGGTGGAGTCGGTAAAAAAAGGGTCAGATCATTCCTGCAGCCATCGTATGTCCCATTCTACCGACCTTCACCCTCATTCGGTCATTTAACAATTCCAGTTTGCTTCTTTATAATCATTTCATTTTGTAGTACGCTTACTATGAGCCTCCACAACAATGTATGTTCCTTTCATTTTAGTCATACAAAAAGCAGTTTGCACAAATCATGTTTGTGATTCTGGAAATTTAGACCAGGTACTGCCGAACGAGGTCCGATGCCGCGAAATTTCGGACTCTATTTTGGAAAAAAAAAAAATAAAACCAAAAAAGAGCATGCAGTGTACCTTCTCTCATCAAACAATAAACCTTATTTTTCACTAACGATGTTTATTTTGTTTTGATATTGTTAATGAGCACTTTTCGAATTAATCGTGTGATCAAATATTTTAATTTAGCGAAAATG